ATCTTGAAATCTGATTGGTCAATACAATAAAAAAACTCTTAGTATATAAGCAGATGTACATCTTGTTTTTTTGATACAAATTGACATTTTTTAAAGTTTTTATAGATTTTAACTTGATACTTAAGATAATATTTTAATGATTCATCTAATTTTACTATATAGATATATAGTAAAAAAAATATGTAAAAATTTATTCTTATTAAAATTTATATAGAACAAAGCTTTATTTGCATATTGATTTTTATATATTTTTTCAAATCACATTTAATTAATTTAATTATTATTATATTTTTTTGGTGTTAAAGTAACCTTTTGGTTACTTTCTTTTATTCAATTATTGTTACAGATTAAAACAAAATCTATCAAAATAAAATTTTTCTGTTTTTAAGAAAAATTTAAAATTTTTTTGAAGTACATTTTTTAGAGTTCTTTTTAGCATTAAGGGTAGAGTATAGTGTTAGATTTATTAATAAATGTGTATATATAGGTTTTATAAGCTTTAAGAGTAGGCATGAGAGGTCCTCAGTTTCATTTTGATCAGATTTCATTTTAATCTGTGATAATTATTGTTAACTTTTATAGTATAGTATACCATACTATATATATATTTGTAAGGTATAACTAGCCATACATGCAACTTTTGGTTGCCTATTCAAGTAGTCTACTTATTACTCAACTATGAAGTTATTTATTTAAACTCTCTGTATCTATATATATTAATTATCTAATCAGTAAGAGTACTAGTATCTCTTTATTTTCAGATACCTGACTTAGGACAAAATAAACCTACTAGAATCTTTTATACCCACAATTCAGCTGATCTAGTTTTCAGTTAATACATATAGGCCGTAACTCACTACTTGCATTATAGTTTCATAGCGAAAATATTCTCTAGCTATTTTGTATTTATTAGTTTTTTATAATATTTTAACTATACTATGGTCTGATTGCTATTATTCTATCTATTTTTGCCCATAGAGTTTACTCAAACCCCAATACTCCCTTTATAACAACTTGGTATCTTCTTTTTCAGTATCTTCTAGCCAGTCTTCCCCAAACTACCAATCTAAATAGCCCAAAAGGGACATCAATCCCTTGATATCTGCATTGCAGATTTTTTTTCTTCAACATTCTGGTAGCCTGGTTGATAAAATACCTTTTTCTGAATATCTGGTCTTTATCTAGTTCTGCTAGCCTCAAGTAAAATCTATTCCAGTAATACTGTCATAAGTCTTTGCTATCTCTCTATTTAGGACTTACCAAGCGAGCACCCTACTATCATATTAGCTCTGTTGGCTTTTTGCAACCTCTAAGAACTTATCTTGGGTTTATACTAACTAAACTGGTTTGCATGCCTTTGTCTAACTTCTTTATTACACAAATGTCTAGACCAATTCTTGTATGATTATTACTTGGTACAACTATAATTTAATTATTTAAAAACATCTACTTTTTCTTATTTAATAATTTAAGTGGAAAATCGTAATTAAAGGATAGAAAATAATCGACATTTAATAGTAATACGTGACGGGCATTTAATAGTAAAATTTTAATAGCAGTGGAATGGTGAAAGATCATCTCATTAAAAATGTCAAACACTAAAAAATATGAAGTTCGACTCATAAATAAAGGGCAAATAAACCTAAATCTTCATTACGGATCATATGCTCGGGATTGGTGGATTCAAGATTCAAAAACTTCAAATAATAGCATACTAACTCTTTCTTTTCGTCTTTATATGAACGTAATAACTCAAATAAATGGTTATGATTTTTTTTTATCTATTGTTAATAGGCCCTCAAATCCCTTACAACCAGGTTTTTTGTGTTCTGTTGGAGAAAAAATTAGGGACATACAAGATACTCCTTCAGCCGCTATTAACTTACTATATCAAAAAGTATTTGGAACTAAAACTGCATATTCGGTATTTGGGTTCTACAACGAAAATATTAGATCAGAAATACTTGCTGATATTTCCTTTTTTCCATTATATATAAGT